ACAGTAAACAAGGTTTATCATTTAAAAATTATGAAACAGTGAGAGTGGATTTAATTTAAAATTGTGAGAACATTATATTGGAAGGATTAAGAAAGGTGAAGGAGAGATGAAATAGCACTAATAATCTTAATTATCACAATAAACGTCAAGAGATCATACCTAGCATGCTAAACTGAAGACAGCATATACATATTATTGAATTTTTCAGTGTGCATGTATTATTTAATAGGAATATTTTTAAAACAATAAAAAACAACAAAGGAGCAATGTAAAAATGACTAAAAATATGACAAATCAATATGTAAAGGACATCTCATGTAGAAAAATCTCTAAACACCTCACTACTACTCACCAACACAATGCCAATTACCTACCCCACCATTTTTATCTATGAAAGTCAATTGTCAAAATTAATGTTCTTAAGCAAAATACAAGGACAGACTACCAATGGGAATATAAACTTACTGCACAGCAATCTGACACTATGTCTCAGAGCATAATGTTTGGCTCAACCTTAAAAGTATCATTTTTTCCTAATAAGAACTTGCATAGAAATCACATATCTCAAAGGTATTCTCTGAAAAAATAGTTAAAATATTTAAAGGTTAGAGAAAAATAGAACTCCTCCCCCACAAAAAAGAAAAATAATTAAATTATGGAACACCATGAGTACCACAGAGTACCACAGAATACCATGCAGCCATTAAAAGCAATGTTTTCAAGGAGGTGAGGGAGGGAGCAAATCAGCACAACAGGAGGAATAAAAGATTTTTAAGGAAAGGGTATGAATGCAAATATGGGAAATAGTAAGTAACTTACTTCATAAAGTTAACTATTTGAGCTCAGTGAGCAGTAAGGAAACATGGAGGATATGGACGCACCTTGTGCTGCTGAACTCGATCACCTGGGCAGCACTGTGAGGCTGGGGAAAATGTAAGTTTGGGGATCCAATATTCAAACTCAGCTTTTTCATTTCCTACCTGGCAATTTTGAATCTGAACCTCAGGTCTCTGCCTATGAAACTGAAAAATTACCTTTTCATAGTACTTATTATAAGCTGGAAAAAAATGATGTATATGAAGCCCAGTATACCTTTCTACCATAGTAAGTACTAATGAAGAGAAGTTTTTCTGTTATACTAATCCACTATCTAGGGGGGAAAAAACAATTTTACAGAAGAGTGCAAGTAAAGAAAGTACTGTTTTTAAAGATTTGCATGATACTTATTTCTAAGTCTGAATTATTTACACAGAGAAGCACGTACTGTGTAAGTTTATTCACCAGTGAAGTAGCACACTTCTGCCATCCCCAGAGTTGAGAACATAATCATAGACTGCCTCTCACTGTTTCACAAAAGAACTGATTGTTCTGGGATGATGTAGACTAAAATTATTTAAAGAATAGAATTCATGTTTCTGTTCCATGTGTATCTTCAGCAGTCTTTACAGTTTATAGAATGCTTTTGTTCTGCTCATTTTAGTTGTGAGTGTGGCATTTGAGTAGTGGATGTGGACTGTCCTGCTATGTTCGTCAAGGATTTGCCCAGATCTACAAAAACAAGAAAACTAGACACAGTACCTTTAGTTTAGACACAGTACTCTTTCCACTTATATCTGTTTCCTCTTTTTTGCCATTTTTAATAAGTTACCAATAACTAAGTATTTTCACTTACTCATTTCATAGTTTCAATTGTAAGAGCCTCCAATAGTCACTATGTACAAGTTATCTAAATAAAGTAATTTGACGAAAAATATTGGTGGAGAAATAATTAGATAACTGAAAAAAAACTATCCATTTATTTTACAGGCTATTTGGAAAATGGTATCATACTACATTTACATGAAACATTTTCAGGAAAACACTGTATAATTTTATTCTACTCAGTAGGTTTTATATAACGAAGTCCCTGAGATTTAAATAGAATGAAGAGCAACTGAGCAAAAGTAGTAAGAACAATGCTTTTATATTATATGAACATTGTGAGTATTTTCACAAAGTGAAAAAGATCAGCTAAGGCTCACAAGTTCTTTCCGGTCCTGACACCTGATGGCTGGATCACTGCTGCTGACAGCACTTTTAAGGGCAGGAGTCATTTACTCAGCACCTATTATTTGCCAACTGTCCCTACTAGAAATACAGTCAATGAAATGCCACTAAAACTCTCTCTGTATTAATAAAACTTCAAAAATATATCCAAAATCATCAGTAGAGACAAAAACAGAGTCTACTTAATTCAATGGTATGCTTTCCACCTATCTTCCCCAGACAACATAACTCAACGAATTGACAAAAATGCCATTATCTCCAAAGAAAATAAAAGAAGAGCAAAATTTAAATTAAAAAAAATTTTTTTTGTTTGAGCAGGGTTGTTAAGTATGGAACAACATTTTAAGGAAAGTTACAGTAGAATCTATGCCTACAGTTCTCATGAAAGGTAGGAAGGAACATGGATCACATGCAAAGATCCTTGCATGGGAACCTTGCAAGGATCGCTGCTCCAGATCCTTTAATTCCCTAACTTTCGTTACTCAGAAAGGGAGGAAACAATTACTGAGCATCTACTATCTACAAAACAACTTCAGTGGGAGTAAAATGAACACATCTACAAAGTATTTCTTAGAAATAACGATAATTTTCAATGTTAGACTTGCCACTAGAGGGAGTTTATCTTGTTCAATTAATTCAATTGAAGGTTGGGAAGAGGTTCAGGTTGATATTCTGTCATGTACTTGATTCCAAAATTTTACAGAACTGCATATATAAATGGGCATCTTATCAACAGTCTTATACTTATGCTACACCGTATTTTCTTTTTCAGTAAAATAAAATGGCTTTCACTCAAAGGATCCAAGTTAAATCTCAATAGCACTTTCAGCTCAAACAAGATGTATTTTTCTGACATTGTTAGCATATTTCAGACCTCAGCTACAAAGGACTACTTTAACTTAAAGTCCATATTAAACTTAATATTAGGTTTAGTGGCTACATTCCTAAAATGAACTTTGATTAACTACATTATAAAGTTAATCATTTTTCATTTCAGTAAAAATAATTTATAAATAATTTCATGCGATTCTGTAAATGCCAGCCAGCACCAGGCTTTTTCTTATGGAGTAATGTAGTGATATTTTTAAGGCATTTATGAGACTAGAAGCAATGCAAGGTGCTCAAAAGAGAGCTGAAAAACATCTATGCTAACTAAATAAAATAAGGGTAATGTGAAAATGCTTTAGCAACATTGTATCACCAGAAATTACTAAATGCAAATATAATAAGTCTTAGGAAGTATGTTAAAATATTAAGATAAAGTAATAAAAGGTACATCTTACATAAATAAAAGGAAAACGCAATACATTTAAAAGGAAGACCTTTAATAAATGCTAACTAATAGCCCAAAATGTTAAACTTTATAATATATACAAAAATAAGGCACTTACTTTTTTTTTTAAATCATCTAGGTTGTTATGTAACACACTGACAGAAATGCAGTAACTTAAAAATCCATTAGGGAGATCTTCAAATTTTATGATTATACACATAAAACCCACAATACCGGTATTATAAATACTCTAAGTGTACAATAAATAGATAAAACAGGCATTTGGGATGGCTCTCAATTTTACCCAACAAGAACAAATTCAAACTAGACAACTACATTTTTATATCAAAAAATCACTCTACAAAATGCAAGTTTGTAAATCAACGTCACAGAACTGCCAGGACAGAAAATGCTATCTTGGCAGTATTCCTAATGTCAGCCACCCTGCAGGATAATACTTCCAAATTTTAATCAGTCTACTTACACAGAGATAAATAGCTTCTGTTAATGCCAAGTCTAGATCTGAAGAACTATGATTTTCAAATCGAAATTCTAGAGGGAAATTAAAACTCCAGAACAATGAAATTTTTAAACTAGTTTGTGGTTTTAAATATAAATTCTGATTTGAATTTGTGACCGAAATTAAGTTTTAAGCAGAATGTATACTTCTGATTGGCTCTGAATAAACCTTTAATGTGCTCTTAAATCCCTTTATGAAAATTTGAAAAATGTGAATTAACCCAGAGATAACAGTTGTAAATAAACATATGAATACAGCTGACTAACAAGAGTAAATCTGTCTCAGACACAAATTTGTTTTTCCAAAAAAGTCATTTTAAAGTTACTTGCCATTTCATGCAAATATCCCATCAAAACAAACAAAAAATCTGTTTGTAATCACTCTATTAGAATTGACAAAACTTTGGAGTAAAGGGAAAAGGGAACTAGAGAAACGTACCAAGAATGAAAATGTCTGTTTCACTTAAATCCAGTTTCAAATCTGTTACTTTACAAACCCTAAAACCACCGCAAGAGTGCTAATCTCCCCAATAAATTAGCTCAAAAAACAAATCCCCCACCGTACCTTGCTCACTACATATACTCATACCTGCTGCCATCTCTATACGTTTTACCGATATCGTCACTTAGAACACTACAAAATTACTTCCAAATAAGTGAATAAAAGCACAACAGAACGCCAGCTGCACCAGACCAAAAAATACCCAGAGCCACTCAGCCCCTTTTCCGCAGGTGGCGCAGGTTTAGCTCTTTGAAACACCTCGCCCTGCCAAGAAAGAGAATTACGACCGTCCTCCAACCTAACCTAAGAGGATATTAAGAGTGGAAGGGGATTTCAAGATGGACTTATGTTAACTAAGCCACCAGCCCCACAGGCACACCGGAGTTGTCAACAAATTAGGAAAACAGCTGCAAGTAGGTGGGGGTGTGAGACCGTGCGTGTGGGCTGGGGACGGGGTGACAATATTTTAAATGCAATGATTAAAAGGGGAAAAATCCAAGGTTTGGTTGTTTCGACCCGGCCCCGAATTTCGATTCCCTGGTGTCGGGAATGGACCTAATCACCACACCGTGAGCAATAGGAGACGCAGTGGGGGCGCCTCCCACACCCGCGTGCCTGAGCGCCTAGCCCTCGCGCCGAAGAGGCGCTCCAGACACTCACGTTTTCTGCACGGGTTTCCGCCGCTTGCGACTTGCGTAGGTGATGTTGGCGCTACTGCCGTTCATGGTGCCCAGCTGCCCGCGCCTCCTCCCCAAGCGCAAGCACAGTCCGCTCAGTCTCCGGGACTCGTCCGCTGCTGGGACGACAGTGGCGGCAGCGGACGCCGGATTTCACGAAGCTGCTGCACTCGCTCCACCTGCGTCCTCCCGGGCAGTGGGAAGACCCCGGGTCCTCGGATTCTCGGCTCCCAAAGCCCCGCGGTTCCAGGTGCGCGGCCCGGGCCTGGCGCCGAAGTGGGTGGGAGGTGCGCGGCGACCGGCGGAGACCCGTGAGCGAGGCGTGGTTGCAGGTGCGGTCCACGCAAGTGGAGACGGCGCGGCGCAGCCCGCAGGTGAGGCGGCCAGGGAGGAGGAGCCTGAACTGCCCGTTTGGAAGCCCGGCCTGGGTCGCTCGCGGTGGTGCCGCGCCCCTTGACTGCCGCCGCGGCCCCTTGGGAAAGGGAGGCGCCGCAGCACGGCTCCTGGTGCTTCCCCAATCCTGGGTGCTTTCCGCCCGTGCAGCTCGGGCTCAGGCCGCCACTACCGCTGCCACCGGCTTCCACTTCGCTACGAAGCTGTCCCTGGTCTGATCTGGTGGTCCATGGGACGCTCCCGGACCGAGCGTCAAGTGGACCCTCACGGGAATACTCCGCGCTGCCGCACGGACCGGCTGAATTGCCAAAGTGCCCGTCTCTCGCCCCGCCCTGTCCCTGTAGCTCCACCCCGTCTTGCTTGGCCCCGCCCCTATCAGTTCCCTTGAGGGCCCCACCTTCCTGGCACGTAATGACGAAAGACGTAAGGACGCCCCGCTGTAACCATCTTCTCGAGGTCAAGGGGTGATTTCTGTGTCCACAGTTCCAGCCCTGAAAGCTGTGTAACAACAAATTATATGTAGCCAAACTCTTTGTAGCTAGACTATCTAAAGGATAGACATGCTAAACAGGGAGCTTGACTTCACCTATATAAGAGACAGTGACTCACCTTTTGACTAAAAATTACAGTGAGCTTGGCCAATAACCAGTACAACTACACACTTTCCCTGGGGGGAAGGCTTCAGGCAGCCGTATCGGAGTAGGAATTTAAAAGCTAGAAGTTTCCTTGGCTTTTTTTTTCCGTCTTTATACTAGATAGCATCTTTTCCCCAGCCAGAGTAACTATTGCTCTTCTATAGTCAGATTTCAATTAGGTTGAAAGGAAGGAAGCACGAGATGTTTGTGGCTAATAAATAGTCTGATACGGCCCAACGGATGGAACTGGAAATGACGTTCAGGAACTTTAGGATCAACTCATAAAGACTTGATAAAGGGTCTAGATTTTATTTTGTAGGCAGCGAAGGCCTTTTAAAGATATTTAGCAGGAAAGCGACATTCTGGTGCTTTGGAAAGGTTACATGGAAGAAAGTGCAAACAAGACAATGGAACATCAAGACTGATTGAAGAGAATAGTTAGGATTGAAGTGACTCAGGTGTAAGTCCAGGGAAGTGGCAGTAGGATGGACAAAGGGCAAAATATAGACGATATAAAAGAATAAGGAAATATAGGAAGAGGAAAATCTTAAATGTCTTCAAAATTTCTGACTCAGGGCTGTTAAACGAGAGTGAACACAGAGGAGTATGTCAGGAGCAGAAGGGCATTCAGGTTAAGATATCTGGATGACAGCTCACACCATATCCATTCTTTTTTTTTTTTTTTTTTAATTTCATCGCTCTTATGGAGAGGGGAAGGGAGAGAGAGAAACATTGATTCGAGAGAAGCATGATTAGTTGCCCCTGGAATGGAGCTGGATACACCCAGAGTGGGGTGCTGGGGATCAAACCTGCAACCAAGGCACATGTCCCCACCGGGATGGAACCTGCAACCTTTTGGTTATGGATGACACTCCAATAGAGCCACACCAGCAAGGGCCCATTTCTAAATTTTAAAATGCCTTGAAGCCATTTTCACCAAGTAAATTTACTACTTCAAATTCAATTCATCAATAAATTAAACTTACCATTTTCCTTAGCTGAAACTTTTTCATTGGCTCTGCCATTCTCCAAATCAACCTGTGAATCCTCTTCAACTCTCCGTACCATTTATATCTAGTCTAGCAAATACTATTTTGTTATTTGCAATATTCATAATTCATCTCCATCCACCTTATTTTTTAATATCAGAGAGCCTGTCCAGCAAAATGTCATACCATTAGGGATTCCTCAACTGATATTTTCTCCTCTACACATTAATTAAATCAAGAGATGTTTTGGGTGATAACTTCAATGATCTAGTCCAAGCAATGTCCCTATAGGGGAAGGATATAAGCAGGTGTGAGGGATTACAACCAGTTAGTTCAGTATGATCAGGGGAGAAAGGCACAAAGGGTCAAATTTGTGTTTCAGAAATAACACCATATCTGGGTGCGGGTCAAATTAAAGAGGCAAGAGCAGAGTGGAAAGGATGGAGTACTCCTTAGGAAGTCATCTGCAGTACCTAGCCAAGAGATGGCAATTGTTGACACTACTGTGGAGGGGATTGTAGAGAGGAAGAAAATGGAATAGATTCAAAGATGTTTGGTAGGTACTGGAAGATGGAGTGGATATACGAAAGTGAGGAAAGAAAATTGGCAAAACCATAAGAGTTGTATGGACTATGTATCTGGCTATGTGGTAATGGCATATAATAGTGGGAAATTCTTAACCTAGCTTTGGATTTCTTCGGTTCGAGGTACATTTGAGACATCTAATAGAAGATGTTAAGTAAGCCATAAGATATTTAGGTTTGTATCTCAAAGATATATAAACTGGAGACAAATTCAGAAGTCATTTGCATTTAGGTGACCGGAGCACGGAAGGTATAGGGTGTGAATATACACTAGAAAGAAAGGACGGGACCCTGAAGAACTTTAATATGTAATGTCTAATAGCTGGATAGGAGATGATGGTCCTGCAAAACTGACTGAAGGAAGAGTTGCTAGAATGCTAAGAGAAGAATAGAGGGATTATCTTTCACAGACGACAAGGTAGAGAAATGTTAGGAGTGGTTAACAAATACTGCTCATATAAAATGAGAATTGAAAATGTCTTTTTTGACTTCTCAGCATGGGGTCATTGGTGACTTTTGTGAACACTATGCTGGTAGACTAATGAACCTGCAATTCAGATTGGAGAAGAAATGACATTGGCAAATACATTTTGTTTTGTTTTGAAGTTTGGCTGTGAAATAGAGAGACCGAGATTGGTAGCTAGGGGGTGTAAAGAGTTAACTTGCTTGCTTGTTTGTTTTGTTTTTTAAGGGATGATGATTAAGCAGTTGAGAGAGATTGAGATTGGCTGCATATAAGAAAGAAAAGGAGCCGTAAAGGAACCATTGATATGAAAAACAGGAAGCAATATGTGCCAAAGCACAAACAGGGGATTAGGATTATAGTAGATTACAGAATAGCAGAAATAGCTCATCTGCTGCCTTACTCTTCAAAGAGCTCCACAGTTTCTCATGGGTGTTATAAAGATCTCTCAGTGCCCTTACTGAGTCAAACTTTAATAAGCCCTCCCAGCTGATTCAAATATACATGAAGTTAGAGCAACGCTGCCCTTCAAAGCTGGAGAAAAGGAGGGTGGTGGGTGAAATGGAGCAGGCTGCTGGTACTGTAGGGTCAGAAAGATGAAGGAAATGTGACAAGGGTATTGCGGCATGAGCTACAAAGACACAGGTGTGTTTTGTGGTTGATGGTTTTGTTTTATATTTCAGCTTTACAAGACTACAAAGTAAAAGTCACCTGGGAAATGGCAACAGGGAACTAGGCGGACATAACCCTGTATCTTCCATGTCTGATGAAGGAAAATAATTAGGCATCTTTCTGGAGAATTTCCCAAATGTTAGGAGAATGAGAGCCTCAGAGACAGCCAGCTCTTGGTTTAGGTCAAAAAAAAAAAAAAAAAAAAAAATAGAGCAACTTCCCAACAAAGGCAGTGCACAAAGAGGAGTTTGCTGTGTAAGGATAAGCAGTTCCAGGGCCTTGGAGTAAACTCTCTCTCTCTAACCTCCTCTTTCATTTCTTCATCTCTGTATTCACATCCATAGCCATCCTACCTAAAAGGTATAAAGCATGAATGAACAAAGAATTTCCTTCTAGCATGGAAACTTTAGGAGTGAAAAATGTATGTCAAAACATTATTGATTCTGTAGTTTAAACTTCCTTTTCAGAAAAGGATATACTAAGTGTACTGAACCCCAGGAATCGACCTTAAATCAGTGATTTGGTACAATCACTCTCTATCTTATTTTGTCCTACTTCCGTACCCTTATTTTCTGTTTGACTTTAGGGTTATTTTCATTACTTAGGAGCCATATCCTGCTTAGTTATAATCTAGACTTAGTTATGTAATGGATCTTTGTATAGCCAAGATAAGAATAGAATATTGATAAGATTTTTAGAACTCATTTTATTTTAATAGTAACACCATAAAGTTCCTGTAACATTTTTGCCTACTATGTCAATAAAATCTGTCTTTCTAGTGCAATGTCATTTAAGGAAAAAAAAAGAATGAATGAGTTGCTATGTTTTGGAAACTATCGCTTTCTACTCCTAATATCACCATTATAGAGCAAGGCTTTGGAAGTGTGATTCGTGGTCACTGCTAAGGATTTAAATTTTCTATTAGCAATTTTTATATGATAACATGTTCTTTTCTTGTAACAATTAATTTGCCTATCAGAACTTATGAATATTTGACCACCTTATTGAAAGCAATGTTATGCTTTAATTTAGTTAAGGTAAAATCACTTTCTGAGGCTTCTGATGCAGCTGCAAGTCTGTTTATGGGATCCTCTCCCCTGCTAAATATATGAGAAAAAGAAATGTTTTAGGAATGCTATTATAAATAGCAGCTGTTCCAGAATGAAGACAAGTAATCAAAATGAATGCTAAACTCATTCATTCCATTCTCAATGTGTTTTAGTTCCTGTAATATACCAGGCACTGTGGGAACAGCGGTGGTATCGAACACACTCCTACCCTCTGCAAGCTTATGTTTTAATGGGAGACACAAGAATTAATCAATATAAATAAATGTACAACTGCAGCTGTGCTAAGTGCTGGAAAATGAGTCCTCTGAGCAACCATAACAGGTGAATTCGACTTGGTTAGGGGAGGTTGGCCTGACGAGCTTGGGCTGAATTCTACGGCATGGATAGGCATTTTGTAAGTGAAGTGGGGATGAAAGGGCATTCCATACAGATAGAACATTTATCACAACTTTTATCTCCTCTTCAATCTTGCAGTTGCTTATCCCAGGCCCTTAGAATGATCTATTTCACTCATATTCTGCTTTTACATCTTAGAACACACATTATTGTTCCAGAAAATATTTCATTATTTTTGTAATTTTTTTAAACCTCACATAAGGATATGTTTTTATTGATTTCAACGAGAGAGAGAGAGAGACTGATATGGGAGAGAAACAGATTGGTTGCTTCCTGTTCATGCCCCAACCAGGAATCTAGCCCACAACCAAGGCATGTACACTGACCAGGGATAAGCCTGCAGCCTGTTAGGGTATGGGATGATGCTTTAACCAAATGAGCCAGCAGGCCAGGGCATAGTAAATATTTTAGAGAGCTTACAAACTGTGTACTGAGGTTCCCCAAGCACACCACAACGAACTCAAAG